AATGTTTGTACGCAAAAAATAAGTGAACTCTCTAATTTTAATAAGTTTTATTAGATTAGCGTAAAGCCGTGGATGATGAAAACTACCCTTTGAGGCGCGGCAAGCAAGATTGAATGTTCAGTTCGCCTAAAGAGAACAAATTTTTGGATTGTTCAATTGCTATTATTTATTTTTATATAAAAGTTATTTAATATGTTTTAAATATTATTGTCGTAAAGTTATAACTATAATTATTATTATTTTTTTTTAAGTTTTCACAGAAAAAAAAAACATACATAAATTGATTGATATGGCCAAAGTCAAAATGTAGTTGCATACATTGACTGACTTAATCAGGTATGAGGAAAGTGGACTGTGCACATATATTTTTTTGAACTATAGATCAATATAAAATTGTGTAAACTAGCATTGACTACACGGGAAATTGCATTCGAAGATATATTTAATTTTTAATAAACATTATTTAAATAACTTTTTAATAATTCTAATTTCTAAACTCAATTTCTAAATACTCAATTCATAAAAAAATTAGGTTAAAATGAAGTCATTTCCAATTCATGTTAAATTGGAATAACCGCAGTTGAGTGTACATCACCTGAGGGTTAAGGTTTTAAGCCAGGCACTTTTTTAATCAATAGAAAAGACTTTCTAGATTTGAAACTTAAAAAAAAGAAAAATGTTGTGATATCTAACCAAAAATTTGCTAAGCCAGATACCGAGGTTTAATATAGACTAGATGGCTTTATATAGATGTGTAGCATGTCCAACATACTAGTTACAGATGCTGCAGTTTACATGGTATAAACGTTTTTATAAAAAAAAATGAAAAACTATGAGTATTTTTGTCAATAATCAAAACTTTTATTATATATATATATATATATATATATATATATATATATATATATATATATATAAATAAATATATATATATATATATATATATATATATATATATATATATATATATATATATATATACATATATATATATATATATATATATATATATATATATATATATATATACATATATATATATATATATATATATATATATATATATATATATATATATATATATATATATATATATATATATATATATATATATATATATATATATATATATATATATATATATATATATATATATATATATATATATATGTATATGTATATATATATATATATATATATATATATATATGTATATATATATATATATATAAATATATATATATATATATATATATATATATATATATATATATATATATATATATATATATATATATATATATATATATATATATATATATATATATATATACATATATTTTTTTGATTCATAAAAAATTTATTTAATATTTTCTTGCACGTCTTCATATTACCAACTAATTTTTCAAATTCTGCATGTGTAATTTTAGCACATTCAACAGCAATAAATTCTTTCAAATACTGTTTTGAAGTGACCCCATGTGTTCTGACCCTTCTGTCAACCATAACCCATAAACTTTCTATAGGGTTAAGGTCAGGCGACTGTGTTTGTCATTTTAAAATTTGGACTTTATTTTTTATCAACAATTCTTTAGTATGATGTACAGTATGACGTCGAGCATTGTCTTGCTTAAATATTATTGAAGATTTATCTTCATTTGGAAATATATATCATTGACAGATGTGTCAATAATGTATATTTCAAAAATTTTGACTCATTTATCAATAGTTGGCAGATTTACCAACATAGTTTTTTGAATTCAGGCGTGCTTTGCACAAAAAAATTTCCCCTAATCTTTCTGCAGTCATAGAACCCCATATTATTACAATACCTCTACCAAACTTAATAGTAGGCACTAGACATCCTGGTAAAAATATTTCAGCAGGACTTCTTTTCACATACGTTACGCTAGGAGTTCCAAAAATCTGCAATAAAAAATCCAAAACATCAAGTAAATAATTTTAGTTATAGGGATCCATTTATCCATTATTTCTAAAGAACACAGTTATTTTTTATTTACTTCAAAGTTGAATTAAATGAACCAGATTACTTCTTGCCTCGCAGCATTTCAATTCACATTCTATCAATCTTCTTTTAACAGTTTGTGTAGAAATATTAGCTCCAGTTGCCTCTGCAAGATTAAATGTAGCGACAAAGACAATTTACAACGATTTTCCAAAGCTGTTTGTGATATCATTCGGTCTTCTCGAGCTGTAGTTTTGTTTTTGTTTCGATGTCTACTTTTATGATCTGTCCTCGTATTTCTTCAAATCGTTCACATTGTTTCCCCGTTTCTTATTGAAAAATATTATTAAATAAAATTTTCACAAGAAAAAATCACAATCTGCACTTTTTAACTGTTTAAATAGATGTGTACTGTGCAAGTTATAATTCTAGAAAAAAAGTAATATTCGCAAAAGTTATAACATTTTAATAGAAACTAATATGGCATTGATTTAGGAGTTACACTATGAAAAAATCGCAAAAAAATACAAGTTCAGATGTTTGAGTTTTCCTAACTTGTGATATGATTGAACAGATTTCTATTATCGAGGTATTTGAAGAAAAACATCAATTCACACTCGGAATCATTAGTGAAAAAGCATACAAAACAATGAATTTCAAACTCAAGGAGCAGTATAAGCTCTGATCGAATTCTTTTTTATAGTGTTGTTAACTTCCACAGAAAGCGCTAGTAACAAATACAATGTTACAAGAACACAATGTTTCAATTTTACAAGGACAAAATTACCAAACACCAAGTTAATATGAAAAAAAAAGTAATATATGTTACTAGGTATAAGCATTATAATAGTAAAATAATGGTAAATCCAAAATAAACAATCGGAATTTTGCTGTTGATATATGCAAATTTAAAAAGCTCATTCACTAAAAGTATTAACTTAAAAAAGTTTTAAGTTGTCTTCATTAACCAACTAAATTTTATTAGCCTTCATTAACCAACTAAACTTTTTAAACAATTGCAGGTATGATAAATAAAGCTTTTAACAATATTATTTACGTACTTCATAATTATTGGTTATAAATAAATTATAAAAAAAAAAAGTCAAACTTACATTAGTAAAAGATAAAAACATAATTATATCAGTAGCTTGATAGAACATAAAAGTGTTGATTTAGAATAGGATTTTAGCTTTTTAGAATTTCCAAAGATTTTTTTCATAATAGTCACTATAACTGTTTACTAAGTGAGCTGTTACTAAGTGAGCTGTTGCTAAGAGAGCTGTTACAACTAAGTGAGCTGTTACTAAGTGAGCTGTTACAACTAAGTGAGCTGTTACAACTAAGTGAGCTGTTACAACTAAGTGAGCTGTTACAACTAATCTAAAAAGTTAATCTGTAATTGAATTATTTAATTACAAAACCAAGTGAATTTTTTTTCAAAAACGATATCATTATGGATAATAAAAGGTCAACTTTAGTCACACCATCTTATGTAGAACTAATAATCCTTTAAAAATTTATGAAATAATACGTGAACTAATAAGCCTTTAAACATTTATGTATTTTGCTTTAAAATTTTTGTTTACTGCAGAAACCCATCAAGTAAAATCACGTAGCGGCTTTCTGCAGTATGTTTTGCATATTATGTACATATCATGAAAACAAAAAAAGCTAAAATGTACATTTACTACAAAGATGATGCCAATAAATCCCCAGAGGAGGTTTGCTCCATAACACTACATTGTTTGAAAACTAAAGTTTTGAATGGAACTAAGCATCTAATTTTTTTTATGATGAACCTTGTGGATGTTCTTGATAAAACTTTAAGATAGAGGTATATTCAAAACTGTTCATTACTACTTCTCAGTCAAAGATCACTCATTTTTACATTGTGTTCAAGATTTTGTCTGCATTTTACAAATCAAGTATGTTGAGATTATTTTTAAGTCATGTAAATTAGTGCGTTCCTTAGGTAAAAAACGACACGATAAAAAACGACACGATATACGCTTTTAATACTTGATGGACACAATTTTATGAGAAGACTGTTAACTTTAAAAATTGACAGTTGCCTTCTTATAAAATTATATTAGTAAAGATTGTTAGAAAGTTACACGATTGCATTTTTTTTTATAAACTATTTTTTGAGTGTGATCAGTTGCATGTTGTTCTCTCAAAAAAAAAATTATGTAAAAAACATTCCGTAATTCCGGAACTCCCAACAGTGATCGCATCTCCACCTAAAAAGGTAGAAATCAACGCAAAAATAAATATTAAATCAAAGAAGTTGACCTTGTTAACTAGAAGAAGTTGACCTTGTTAGCATAGAATAAAAACTTAAACAATAGGCTTGGTTTGTAAGCAAAGATAATATGTTTTTGGTTATAATATTTTTAAATGTTATTTTGTTTGTCTTTGATTATTTCTTTATTTTTGCATTCCTTATTTAACTCATATTTCAACTTTTTGTTTGATTTTTAATAAATTAAAAAAAGAATGATAATATGCTTTTTTGTTTACAATCAAAATACTAAACTGCTTTAAAAAAATAATTTTATAGTCGAAATCTTTTTTAAAATAGTTTTACTTTATTGCAGAAACCTGTCAAAAACAAATATTTTTAAATATCTTGCATAAATAATAAAATTTTAAAAATCAATACCATTGTTTGTTTTAACAATTCAATAAGAAAGACTTTGAATTTTTTATCAAGTCAAATTCTTCACAAATTTAAAAATTTAGAAGTTTTTTTTTATTTTGTATAAACATCTTAATCTTAGAAATCTTAGAAATCTTAGAAACCATAATCACTCATTTATCTTGAGTTTACCAAAATCTAAATGTAAAGTTCAAATGATCAAAAATATTGAAAACAACTATTAATTAAAATTAAAAGAAATATTTTATTTTATTTAAAGATGTAATAAAGAGGTTAAACAATATAAATTCAAAATTGTATAACTCTTAAACAAGAAAGTTAAAAAAAAAAAACAAATATTGTTTTTATAATAAAAAATATATAAAAAAGTCTTACAGAAATGATAACTATTAGCAAGTACATTACTTTTTATGTTTTGGTTATATATTAAAATTAACACAATTACTCTTACTACAGTTTAAATACTTTATTATATATTACTTTTTATATTACTTTACTATACACAGTTACTCTTACTACAGTTTAAATACTTTGTTAATATTTGATATCATTTATTATAGTCATAAATATTTAATTTTGGTACTTAAAACTACTCATTCAGCAATTTAAATTACTAATCATGAATTGTCATGAAAACTAATCGCAACAATTGTAGCAAGCGTTAACAACAAATTATTGCTCGTGACGACTGTAATGAGCGTTTGTTTTTATTAAAATAGTTTATTATTTACTATTGTCATCCGCATATTAAAATTTTGATATGGGGATGACAATAGTAATACTTGAAAACAACGTTTTGGGTATATAGCGCGTATATCTTTTTGAATGATTATTTAAACGCATTAAGCTTAGATCACTTTTTCGGGTTACATTATCAAGCTATATAAGTTTATTCTTTTTGTAATATTATTTTGCTGCTATTAATAGTTTTAAAGTTTGTGTTTATAAATAAAATAAACTTATTTTATTTATAAACATATATTTTAATAGTTAATGAATAAAATAGTTTAAAAATTGCTAATGAATAAAATAGTTTATAAATAAACTTTATAGTTTATAAATATAGTTAACAGTTATAAAAATAGTTTATTGTTTATAAACTTTATAGTTTTTAAATAAAACAATAAATAGTTTATAAATAAAATAAATAAAATAAAAATGTGTTTATAAATAAAATAAAATAAATGTGTTTATAAATAAAATAAATTTATAAACAAAAATAAAACTTTTTTAATGCCTTAGCTAGCCCTATGGAGCTACCTCCATGAACTCATTTGTTTTAAAACGCAAAACAACAAACAAACGCATGTTAACCATTTTAAAAGAAATACGCGGATTATACCCAAAATATTGTTTTCAAGTATTACTTTCGTCATCCGCATATTACATAACTATTATGTTTTTTTATATTCTAATATTTTAAGAATCTTAAAACTTAATTTAAGGAAACAATTGCAACTGAAGAATGATAGATATTAATAGAAAAAAACTAATAGAAATGTTGGTTTGATAGAAAAAAAAAATATATAAAAAATATATATATTAATGCAGTGGCGCAGGAAGGTTTTTGAATGTTTGAAATAATCAACTTATTAACAACAAGAATATTCCAATTTTTTTTACGTTTATATGTATGACGAAAAGATTCTTTTAAAAAATACCGCGATAGAAGAATGGGAACAAGAAACCCTAAAATCTTAGCTCCCCTGCCCCAAACACGAGAGCGACAATTTGATGAAATATTTTTTGTACTATTTTCAATAAGACTTATATTCATCTAGAAATTTTAAATTTCATTGTAAAATAGTTTAGTTTTTAAAAATTATGACCACAGTTTATCCCCCCCCCCTCAATTTGAGGGGGTTGCAAACTTTATTTATAGTTTAACCATATAAACCATATAAAACATTACTTTAACTTTATACGTTCATAATTTTTGAATACTAAAATATTCTTCTATGAAATTTAAAGTTTCTCCATGTTACTAAGTAAACATATTTAGATTTTGGATATATGAATGCTTTTAGCAAAAGAGTTCGAAAAATTTATTGTTGACTTGATTTTTTAATTTTTCTCGCAGTTTAATCATTACTTACCAATATTTTCTAAATGTATTTGCTAATTTGTTTACTTATAAATACAAATAAATAAATATAAATAAAGCAACAAAATTGTGAAGCACTTTAAAGTCTAACAAATTGTAAAACAGATTAAAGTCTAACAAAAGCAGATGTCAGACTTTAACAGCTTTTTACAGTTTTGTATATATTCATCGTAGAGTGTTTATAATATATTTAAGTTTTTCGCTTCTACGACTTCTTGTTATAAATGCACGGTTAGCACGGATCCTTATAATGCCTACCTAGCTGTCCCAAGAACGCCACTTATACGGAAAGTTAGCGTACACATCAACGTACCCTGTAATGCAAATTTTGAAATCATTTAATTTTTTCCGCAGAAAAAAATTTAATTTGAATGTTCAAATATAGTCAAATTTTGACATCATAGTGCGCCAATAAAAATACTTGTAGAATTTGAACCACTGAATGTAATTTGATAAAAATTGGTGCAAATGTAGCCAATAGTCACATCAATCTCCGGACAAAATTCCAGCCTGATTGAATGACTAGGATGTGTAGGATTTATTGCAGCTTTAGTTTAAGTTTTGTCAGTTTTTTCTACTTATAGCTCAAAGCGTTACCTAATACTTTGAAATTCGGTCACTATTTTTAAAATAACGGTTACATGAGTGTTCTACTATGTAATCCAAACAATTTTTGTTATAAATATTATATCGGTACATGTACAGTTTTCATTTTATGGACCAAATTAGTGATTTGCTACCTAAAGCGTGATTTAAAATAGTCTTATGCTGATACTGTCGACACGGTCTCCAAAGTGGAGGAGGTCAACCCCTCAATTTCTAAAATAAATTTCATAATTTCTAAAATAATTGCCTATATTTCTTAAACAAAAGTTCCTCGCAAAAAAAATAGTATAAAAGGACATGACCTCTAGCCTCCCCGGCCTTGACGACCATGTATGCTTTGCTTGAATATACCAACATTTCCTAAGGTATAAACTGCTGCCACAAAAAAAGCTAGAAAAAGTGCAAAACCTGGTCAAAGGATTACCAGTTAGTAAAATAAAAAAAAAAGTAGATCTCCTAAAATATTTTGTATTGACCTCCTTAAATACATTTACTTGAATTAAAATGAAGTGAAAACTATTTAAACCCTTTTTTTTACTTTGTATTACCATCAAATATCTAATTACATTTTAAGAAATATTTTTTTGATTTTCTCCACCAAAAGATTATTAATAAATAGCTCAATGTACTCTTTTAATACAAATACTCTATAATACTACTTTCAAAGATGGTGAAAATATTCATTATACGCCGTAAAATATGTATTTCAGCAGCCTTATTTCTAATAACTCAAATGATGTTCTTTAAAGATCCTTACTGTTTAGATTAATTATGCAAAAATCTTTCTTTGTACTATGGATGATTATTATTTCGCTTATACCTCGACCAATGTTGATAAAAATCTTGATGAGAAGTTTTGACAGTTTTTTCACTATAGGGCCCCAAGGGGGACCCTGACTGATGAAATCTTTGATCTGGTAGGACGGTGTGAATTTTGGGGTTATGCTTGCAACAGTTATCATTCGGTAACACTTTTTGAAATTTTCAATTTTTTCAGCGAAATCCGGCTGAAGGATGTATTCAAAGCTAGCCTTGAAAACTAAATTGAAGCTGTTGAATGCTTCAATTATACACACAATATCGGGAACCATGTTTGTCTCAGCAAGTTGCTGCAGCATATTCACATTTTTTAGAAGCTTCCTGCATTCATTTCCCTTAAACTAACCCCCGTGATACAGTCTTAGTTGAATGTGGAGAGCGGCTGGTCACCTAACAGCTTCTATCCAAGCAGTTTTAAGGATCTTGAAAAAATGGTTGACAACTCCAAAGAAGAGATGCAATTCCATCGGTCGAATGATTTCCAAAATTAGAACATTTACAAGCCCGCAGATGATTGGCTTTCAAATGACATTGCCAAACAGCTTTGCATTGTCAACAACCCCGCCAGATTGCTGAAAAGACTCAATGCTTGGTTAATTGAGCCCAGTCTTTGCAAGTTTCCAGATTTGGGAAGACAATTGAATTTGACGTCCGACCAAGTGCAAGGGTGCATACTTGAATGAGTTTGAAGACCGCAAATTATATTTGCAGCTTTCATATCACAAGCCAAAATTAGTTTAACTCCATTTGCATTAATCAGTGACCAGATTTGTTCAATAGTGGAGTGTGTTTCTGGCAAATCTTCGGAAACCCTAACAATTATTTGTCTCTTTACTCCAGTGTCTTTACCAGTCCTTTGAGTGAGAGGTTGTTGTTAGTGTGGTGAGCTGGTTTCATCCCTTAACACAGTATCAACAATGCTCAGGCAAAACTTGAGAACACCTTTGCCATCATCAACTCTGAGCTTAACAAAATAGCCACCAGAAATTTTGCGGGACTGAATGACATGATTCCCAAGACTTGATAAATCATTGCATTGAGTAACAACATGAACCGCACAAGAATCTGTTTTTTCGTCTGTGATTTTTAAGTCGCTGCAGGTGAAGAAGTTGCTCAATTGTTGACCTAGTCTTAGAAAATTTATGTAGAAATTTCGCTCTACCATCTTCCTGCTTGATGTTTTGTTTCAGTTCTAACAAGTTTCTTTAATCCGTTGTTTGACAGGTCCGTATTTAATTGCACAATTACAAGGGCTACAGTTATCAATTTCGAAGCACTTGATGGTTTCTGCTCACTACTTTGACCTAAAACCAAAACATACATATTTTATAGTTACAATAAACTTTGTTTAGCAAGTTTGTATAAAACTTTCAAATTATTCGTTTTTAAAGAAATTAGGAACTTGTCAAAAATATACTTTTTGAAATCTATCTAGTGTTATTTCTTAAAAGTCAAGACTTTATTTCAATATATATGTTAAAATTATACAAGTATAAATTTTTACCAGGGGTAACTGTAAGTGGAGGTCCACCGGATGCTTTAGCTAGTAGAATAGTTCCTTCCGGAGATAATTTTTTATTGGAAATAACTCAAGATGCGATTTGTTTGGATGATTTGGCATCTTTTGCTGCTATAGATTTAATGTTTCCGCTTAACATTATTTGAGAACTTTGGTGGGGCAAACCTTTTATTAAAGGGTTGAGGCATTTGCTGCAACGCACCGTTAGTTTTTTCTCAATAGTGGTTTGCTCTATAAGAGGATGTTTTTCTTGCAGCTTTGAACGACCAATTAGGCATATTAGGCAACAACACCTCGTGCCTCTTGTTTTAGGTCTCACTTGTATAGACTTAAAATCAAACAAAGGAGGGAGTGCAACCTCATTCTTCTCTTGTTTACTGCGCAAAGTAATTTTACACGATTTGCAAAATCCTTTTAGTACCCGAATA